TCTGCATTTGGGGTAAAATTGGGAGTTCATAACCCACTTCAATCTAATGTATGAAATATGATATGTCAAGAGCTTTGTAATGTTGTGAACAACCAATAAAAAAAAAATAGGTGGTTTTAGTTTATTTGCCTAATGCCATGAGAATGTTCTTATTTAGACAGCAACAGTGTTAGTCTTGGATGAAGATTTGTATTAGACTTTATTCATTTTTTTTCCTCTAAMAATATGTGCAAAGTAAATAGTGTCCTATGGTTTCAGGTTCCATGGGAAGTAAACCTACAAACATAGGTGGACAAAAAAGGAACTATCCAGGTGCAGTGGTGCACACCTATAATCTCAGCTACTCAGGAGGCTGAGGCAGGAGCTTTGCAAGTTCAAAGCCAGCCTGAGCAACTTAATGATGGCCTACACAACTTATTAAAACCCTGCCTCAATTTTTTTAAAAATTGTTAAAGGGCTGGGAACGTARCTCAGTGGTAGTCCTCCCAAATTCGATCTCTGATTACCACCATCAAGAGAAAATAAAAGGAACCACTACACAAAAATTTAGCCAAAAACTCTAAATGTCTGTGAATATTAGAAGGGAGATAATAGAAACTTAAATAAATCTAAAATAAACCCACCAATAATAATCTTTTATGACAAATATATATTCCTTAAGACCTTTCTAGACATTTTAAATTCATAGATAGGAATTGCCAAGGAATAGCCAATTATAGATATATATTTAAAAGAAATTTTTCGTTTAAACCTATCTCTCTCTAGAATTTTAATAGTAGATGTATTTGCAAGACACTTTTAAAACAATACAGTATCACTTAAATTACATAATTATCATAAGGAATGCCCATTGTTACTAAGAGAAATAAAAGGATCTTGAAATTCTAAAAAATAGAAAGCTCAAAGATAGACCACAGTTAAAATAAAATTTCATGCTTGTGTTTTGGAAAGTAAAGTACCCAGAAAGCTTTTTTTTTCAATCTTAGGATGTATATGTATAATAGTATTAATACTCTTGTTTCTTTCTAAAATTACGATAGAGGAATTGAGTATCTCACAAATATATTTTATTATGGAACTATATGCTTGGCATAGGATGTATACATTTTTCTTCTAAAGATTATAAAATTAACTTATTATCTTATTTAATCTTTTTTTCAACATGTAAATACTAAATATCATTTCCTCTGCTTTTCAAAATTAAAATCCGGTCAAACAAAACTAGAAAATATTGATAAGTGCTGAAGGTGAGTGATAGTCATCTGAAAGACCATTATATTCTTCTCTCTACTTTTATATATGATTGAAATTTAACATAACAAATACAATTTAAAATAGTAAGAATACATTCTTTTTAATATTTATTTTTTAGTTGTAATTGGGCATAATACTTTTATTTATTTATTTTTATGTGGTGCTGAGGATCGAACCCAAGGCCTCACACTTGCTAGGCAAGCRCTCTAAAGCTGAGCCACAGCTGCAACCCCAGAATGCATTCTTTAGAGTATTACAGTCTAGGAGATTATAGAATGTCTCTGGATGCCTTTCCCAAAGTCATCAGAGCATACAGAGAAGCAATTGCACTCTATTTTTCTGAATTTATTTTTAACTTTTTTTGTAGATAATATTTGTATGTTGTACAGGCAAAATGGAAAACAGTGAACAAGCTAAAATTAAACTATATTACTCTGCACTTACATTTTGGCATATGTCATTCCAGATATTTTCATCTCCTGCTAGAACTCCTGATCATGTTAACTTTTCATTATATTGATAACCAGATAATATAATGTATATTTTGATGGTCCAGCATGGTACCACATGCTGGACTCACAATTTGCTAAACCTGACTGTTAAAGCTGATTGTAAGAATCCATGTGAAAGTCCAACTATCACTACCACCCCAACACACCATATCCACATACACCTTCTTAGTTTATGTTTACACTAACAGCAAAAGTTTATAGTACTTAAAGTAGAATCAGGGAGGGGGCATGCTGGGGATGTAGCTTAGAGGTAGAGCTCTTGCTTTGCATGTGTAAAGGCCTAGGTTCAATCTTCAGCAACCCACCCACAAAAAGCAACTGGGTTCCGGAAGCATGAAGTTCAAAAGAACCCCAAATCTCATACACCAAAAATATAAAGGGAAAGTTAATGATCAGTTTACTGATAGTTCCAGAGATTATTTTAAGACATCCTTATTATATTTAATATTGGCTTACATACAAATTATCAATCGCTAAAGAGATTGAAACATAGATAACTAAACTTTTAGACAAGTGTCTCTGACTATTGATCAACTGAAAAGTGTCTCTGTCTAATGATCAACTGAAAATAAAGAGAGGGCTGAGGTTGTAGCTCAGTTGGTAGTTTGCCTTGCATGTGTGAGGCACTGGATTCGATCCTCAGCACCACATAAATACAAATTTAAAAAATAAAATTATTTTTAAAAAAAGAAAATGAAGAGAAATTCAAAATATTGTATGTATTATATGTATGTAAATACAATCTACATATTGTAAAACCTAGCCCAATTTACAAAATAATACTTATAGTTTATGAAGACCTAGCTCTTTGGATTAGCAGTAAAGTTCTATAAAGCACACATCAAATTTAAAGAAAGATGTATTTATTCAGAGCATCTGACCAAACAGCTAATCTGCAGAATGGATTGTTGTTTGAATAGCCAAACTGAAGGAAGCTAGTGCTTTTTAGAAGTTCAGTGAATTCCAGTGGTGAAGAGTACAAGAAATATGGGCATAAAAATATAAACAAGGGCTAGGGATGTAGCTCAGCGGTAGAGTGCTTGCTTAGTATGCATGTGGCCTCAAGTTCAAACTCTTGCACTGCAAGAAAAAGAAACATATATAACACCACACACACACACACACACACACACACACACACACGCACGTGAAAGAAACCAGCATTTGTTTAGGAGGTCCACAGAGATGAATGTGATGTTTAAAATTTAACTGCACACTTTTCAGGAAATGCTTAGCCAATGTGCTACCATGTGTTAGAACCTTTCTAAGTCACCCTTCCAAAATTCCTTTCATAGGACACATGTGAGGGGAACTTAGAGTTTCGAGAAGTCTCCTTCTTCTATCCATGTCGCCCAGATGTTTTCATCCTTCGCGGCTTATCCCTCAGCATTGAGAAAGGGAAGACAGTAGCATTCGTTGGGAGCAGCGGCTGTGGGAAAAGTACTTCTGTTCAACTTCTGCAGCGATTTTATGACCCTGTGAGAGGACAAGTGGTAAGACTGCACTTAAATACGCCTAATCTGGGGCTTACCACTACTATTCTTCAACATTCACTTGGGCTTAAGCATCTTTACTAGTTTGGGTATGGCAAACAATGCAGAAGTTAAAAAATAATCATAATCTCTAGCCCAACAAGACTTAACTAAGAAAACAAAGCAAATCAATAACAGAAAGGATGGTTAGGACTTTGAAGTTAAATACAATGACCTAAAGATTCTTCAAACCATTCTGGCAACAGAATTTTGGTCTTAAAAGTCATGGAATTCTTTTAGAATATGGGTGTGGAGAACAAGTCTCATGTCCACATCAAGCTTCTTTATTCTGCTCTGGTTTAAAACAGAGATAATAGTTTCCTTGACCTCCTTGGTCAGGCTTTGCTGTTCTTGCTGGCCATCCCCATCTCCCAGCCCTCAAAAACTTAGGCAAGATTAAGGCTCATTTGAATCTGCATTTTTATATTGTAGACCCTGATCTCAAAAAGATGGAACCTCTTCCTCCTAGGCTTACTTTTCTTACCTTGCACTTATCTTACTACACCTTATGTAGGTTATATTCTAGATTTCCATGACCTCTCTGCCACAACCACTACTTCTTCCCCTCTCTCTCTCTCTCTCTCTCTCTCTCTCTCTCTCTCTCTCTCTCTCACACACACACACACACACACACACACACACAGCTTCCTATCCTGCCTCTCCCTCCTACAAAACACCGTTCGTTCCTAAATTCCCAATATATATTTGCAAAATGTAGTTTTCCAAAAAGGACTCCCTCCAACCAGGTTATCAGTGACCTATTTGGACATAGTATAGCATACTCACTCCCTGAAACCCTCTAATGGTCTCCCACTGCAGTGAAAATAAACCAGAGTCTAACATAGTAGTCAAAGTTTTTTATGATCTAGCCTCTGCCTCCCTCTCCCAGCTCCTTTATATCCCTCATGGTGGACTCTTTGTCAATATATTCTTTAAACACACCTGTGAGCCTTTCTTCTAGAATGATCTCGCTCTAACTTCCTTGCTGGCTACTTCTCGCCATCATGTCCCAATTCTTCATCCTTTCCTGCTTCCCTTCATTTCCCCTGTCCACACCCTCTTCACAGCCTCAGTCCTGTCCTGTTACCCTGTCTTCCTGGTACTTTTATTTTCTGAGTGTATTAAGTAATTTGTTCATGTGTGGTCGGTYGGTTGGTTGGTTGGTTCTACCTCTCTGCTAGAATATGAGCTGTAGGAAGGCAAGAACTTCAACTTACATGATTTCCCTGAAGAATCCCCATCACATAATAGGCATGTTATGATGATAGTATATATCCATGTGAATACACATGGCTATGTACAGAATGGCAYGTCTCTACATGAGGGTTGCTGAATCAGTCTACACCCACTCTCTCACTGGGCATCAAAGGGGTCCTGTTGAGGTGGAGGAAGACATAAGTCATTTTCCATCTGACTTCAGGACAGAGCACCAGGGTTTACTCCAGACCCCGGTATCTCTCTGCAATATGTGGCCAATTCTAGAAATGTCAGGAAAATTTGGAGTTGTCATTTCAGTGAGTTATAGGTTTGCTTCTTATACAGCATATGATTTATGAGCCTTCCAAGGTAACCTTATTCTTTGAAATAGCTTGAATTCCTACCTTTCTTGTTATGATTTGTATATGTTTGAATACGGTGAAACGTAACATGATACTGTTGTCAGAGCTTAACATGCCTTTCTCCATTCTGCTTTTGGCAGCTATTTGATGGTGTAGATGCAAAAGAGTTGAATGTACAGTGGCTCCGTTCCCAAATAGCTATCGTGTCTCAAGAGCCTGTGCTCTTCAACTGTAGCATCGCTGAGAACATCGCCTATGGTGATAACAGCCGCGTTGTATCATTAGATGAGATAAAAGAAGTTGCAAATGCAGCAAATATCCATTCTTTCATTGAAGGTCTCCCTGAGGTAAGAAAATAGCTCAGATTTTGAATTACCAAACTGCCAAGGAGGCCTACATAGTTATCAGGCTTTAGTGTTTACTTTATGCAGTCCTTGAATTATACAACTTATTTATTGCCAGCATCTAACATAAAAGTTAGATTAAAAACACACAAAAAAGCAAAGCTTGAGATTTTCATATGACTATTTTTCCCAAGGCCCAAATATATTTATAGTCACAGAATAACCTTTCACATTTTGATTCTTCACCTTCTATCCACCTACACCCTGCCTTGTCCACACTGCTGTCACCCTCCTCTGGACCATAGCAGGACCTTTATACTCTGTCTTCCAATCTTGTTCCTTTCCTTTATAACTTTTCTTCTTTACAGCAATCAGAGGGATTTTTTGGGGGGTGGAATACCASGGATTGAACCCAGGGGTCCTTAACCACTGAGCTACATCTCCAGCCAGGTTTTCTTTGATTTGTTCTATTTGTGGTTTTTTGGGGTTTTTTTAAGAGAGAGAGAATTTTTTTAATATTTATTTTTTAGCTTTCAGCGGACACAACATCTTTGCCTGTATGTGGTGCTGAGGATCGAACCCGGGCCGCACACATGCCAGGAGAGCGCGCCACCGCTTGAGCCACATCCCCAGCCCGATATTTTATTTATTTATTTTTATGTGATGCTGAGGATTGAACCCAGGGCCTCACACGTGCTTGCGAGCACTCTACCGCTGAGCCACGACCCCAGCTTTTTTTTTTTTTTTTTTTTTTGAGACAGGGTTTTGCCAAGTTGCTGGGGATGGCTTTGAAATCGCAACCCTCCTGCCTCAGCCTCCCTCCGGAGCTGCTGAGATTTCAGGTGTGTGCCACCATGCCTGTCCAGAAGGATGCTTTAAAAGCATCAAATATATCATGTCCCAACCCAGCTTACAATTACCATGCAGCATCCCTTGGTATTTATAAGGAAGTCCATGTGCCTTGTGTGGCTGGTGATGCCTCCATAGTCTGGCCCTCTCATCTCCAGCCTTCGCATCTGCTCAATCTGCTGCAGCCATGCTGGTCTCTTCTCTGTCTCATGAACACACCAGCTGGTCTCCTGCCTCAGGACATTTGCATTTGCTGTTTTTTCAGCCTATACCTACCTTCTTCTGACCTTTTGCACAGTAGCTCCTTAACTTTCAGGAATCAGATTTGCAGATCCTTCCCTGGATACCCTATTTAAAATAGTCCCCTCTGCTCCTATCCCCTGTCACATTGTCTTCAGGGCACTTATCACATTACCTGGAGTGCGTTTTTACTTGTTTAGTGCCCCCCCCAAGACTACAGTATAAGATCCTTGCCTGCCATCTTTGTCACCTTGATCCCCTTTAACTCTGCATTGACTCTGACAGCTGCCACAAAGTCTCAGAAAAGGAAAACCTTTTGGTTGACTGTAGAGAAGGCTTTGGTACAATAGGCACCGAAAGTGCACAGAGACAGGTCATCATAACTTCAAATGCTTATGAGATTTGAGCCTTTATATCTATACACACAAATAAAATAAAAATAGAAATACCTACTTCTAAGTAGAAATAAGGGCTTACAATGCCATTTCTAACAAAGTGTTTATCTAATACACCTTAAAAGGAAATAAGAGTTGAACAATCAGCAGATCAAACTATGAGTCTAGACCCCTGCTGTTTGGCAGAGGCTGATGGGCTCATAGCCTGACTTTCCTGCTGCTAGCCCTTCCCTCAGCCCCTCCTCTCCACCCTAAGTGAGCCGACAGCCAGAAACAGGCCACTGGTGATGCGACCTCTGAACTGTGGAACGGTTCCGCAGTACTAAACATTTTGGAATGATTCACATATTTTTCATCRATGGTGTAATCCCATGATGTCTTTCAGTGGCAATTCCCTTTGTAACCAAGGCACTTTGCATGGTTAATTGACAGTCAGATTGTTATCCACAGAACCCRGACAGTTCAATTTACGAACAGTAAAAGTGCAATACATTTTATATTTGCACCATTTGGCTTTTATTCTTAAATTGTTTATCTTTCATTCTTCTCATGGCCCTATTTCTCAAATTTACCTAAAGCTACACTCTGTAAAGATTTATTGTGCTAACTTTTTACAATAGACTAAAAAAACTAAGAAAACTAAGAAAGATGTTCTTTCCTTAAAAAGAATAGCTTATTTCTCACTCTAGTTTACCTTTTTATCATTTTTTTCTCCCAAATCATGTAGAACTATGAGAAAATCTGATACCAAAATAAAATCATTTAAAAATTTAAATCAGAGGATTTAGAAAAACTATATGTTATAAAATGTAGGCTAGTGTTCTGCATAGGACAAGGCTGCCCTCTTATGTTGAGTTGGCTTCAGAGAAGGAAGAARGGAAAGCAGCCATTCATTTACCCAGCACTTTTTKTGTGTGTGTGTGGTGTTGGGGATTGAATCCGGAGCCTTGTGCATGCAAGGCAAGCACTCTACCAACTGAGCTACTGCCCTATCCCTACRTAGCACTTCTATAAACAAAGAACTAAGCTAAATTTTCACCATGATGCAGGAAGGATGATGTAACCACTCTACAGATAAAGAAGTTCAAGTAAGTTCCCTGAAGTTGAACAGAAAGTCAGCATTTGGGCCTGGATTCTTTGTGATGTGCCGCAGTCTGGATGGGCACAAAATCACGAGCCACTCAAGCAGGAACAAACTTTATTTTTGAAACTGCCGCCAATGCCCCATACGCTCCCGGGAAGATTGCCGACCGACCCACGCGGTGTTCTCCCCGACCCCCACAGGAAGCCCCTCCTCTGGAATTCCCTCCTACCGCACTTCCCCAACCAATGGGAACTCTCCAGGAGTCCTGTAGCAGGCCCAGGTGGACAGCAGGAGTCCAATATCCATATGAATGTAGATCTTAACATAATCATATCATCTCTGGCTTGCTGGCATCACCTTTCAGCCATGCATCATATTACTTGGCTGTGGCTTTTAGCAGTGATGTACTGGAGGGAAGTAGAGAAATGACATTTATAGTAGTTCTAAGGTTTCAGAGGTGGGAACCCAGGTGCCCAGGGTTGCTCCTTGAATCAGAAGGGCTCTCCAGAACGACCAACACAGCTGGAAGCTTGCCAGGTATAACATATACCAACATGTTACAGCTCTGATCTAGGTATTTGGGGAAGAAAAATAAAAGTGAACTTTGTGCTGGGTGTGGTAGCGCACAACCGTAACCCCAGCAGGTCGGGAGGCTGAGAAAGGAGCATCTCGAATTCAAAGCCAGCCTCAGCAATGGCAAGGTGCTTAGCAACTCAGTGAGACCGTGTCTCTAAATAAAATGCAAAATAGGGCTGGGGATGCGGCTCAGTGGTCGAGTGCCCCTGAGTTGAAACCCCAGTGCAAAAAAAAAAAAAAAAGTCAACTTTGTGATTTGTTGCACTTCTTTCAGATACGATTAATTTCCTAAACCAAATAAATGGAGCTTAGCATCCTTGCCAAATATAAGGCCACAGTTTCAAAAGGTTGATGGAAGAAGAAAGTCTTCACACATGGCACATAAAGGCACATCGATCTTGGGTTGGGTTGTAGTCTAGTGATAGAATGCTTCCTAACATGCTGGCCCTGGTTCAATCCAAGCACTGGAGAAAAAAAAGATATTAATATTTTTTTTTAAATATTTATTTTTTAGTTTTCGGCGGACACAACATCTTTGTATGTGGTGCTGAGGATCGAACCCTGGCCGCACGCATGCCAGGCAAGCGCGCTACCACTTGAGCCACATCCCCAGCCCCAAAGATATTAATCTTAATCCTCTCTATCAGTTATTTAGCAAACTGAAGTGGTTACCACACTTCTGCTTTGTGAGGATTTATTTTACTTTTACTTTTACCTCAGACTCATGGATTGCTCTGCCATGTCCTGTTCACTCAAAATGTGTATTTCCTGCCGTCATTACCCCTTCCCAACACTTATGCCTTTATTCACTCAACACATAGCTACTGAGCCTTGTTCTTTGCAAACCATAATGAAACCATCTTTCATTCAGAGAAAATAACCAAGACCAATAAAATATAGTCCTGCATGGTTGAGATGAACCCAGATCAACACATAGACCGATTATCTTAATGCATGAAGACTGCAAGCAAACTAATGTCTGGGCTCAGAGGGCAGAAGGATCATCTCTGGCTGGAGGTTCAGAAGGGAACTTTAGAGGCTTTAAAGGTGACCTGAATAGAATTTCTGTAGTCAAAGATATTGCAGGGCCTTCTCTATAATGAGGCAATAGGCATGGTCCGAGCAAAAACATGGATACAGAAAATACTAAAGTATTCACAGAATAATAAGTGGTCAAACTAGGAGTAGACTATATAGAGTATAATATTTGATGAGCATGTTAAGGTACAGCTGGGCACTCCAATAGCAAGCAAGGAAATTTTAACCTTGAGAATCACTAAGTAGATTTTTGAACAGGGAGATGTTTGGAACTGGACACTGGAATTACTTTTCTAGCAGCAATGTAAATGATGATGTGAATGAGAGAGACAGGAAGTTTGAGAGATTAGTTAGGAGCTATTTCCAGAATTTAAAGGATTGTAAAAGTGAAATTGCCAGGGCTTGGCTCAAGACTATGAAAAGTGAACAAAGAAATAGATACTAGCTGGGGCAGCCTGCCGGGATCAAACACAATGTAATGGTGAGAGTACAAAGGAGGAAACCACATGAAGGAGTTTGCTGTGGACTGAGTCTTTAAGATTGAGTAGGAGTTCACCAGGCAGAGAGGGGCACAGCCATCCTTAGCAGAAAACAAACACACAGAAAATGTACCTGTGTAAAGTGTTGAAGGTGTTAGGGAGAAATTTTTAAATCACAGAACATAAGGAGAAGAGTCAAGAAGTGAGAAGGGACCAACACATGTGCAAGGACTAAATGTAAAGATCCTATGTGCCAAGCTAAAAAGCTAAAAAGCTTGGAATTCGTGTTATTGAAAAGAGGAAGCTACTAGACATTTTTAGAGAGGAAAATGACATGACCGTATTTTGAAGACAAAAGAGCTGGCTGTTGAGGGCTGGGAATATAGTTACGTTGGTAGAGTGCTTTTCTTGCATGCACAAGGCCATGGGTTCAATCCCCAGCACCAGAAGAAGAACTGGCTGTTGAGACTTCTGTCTGCTCATCCAAAATTCCAGAGGAAGGCAGGGACTGGCATTAAAATAGCAAGTCTGAATGCTGCTCAGGATTTCCTTACAACAGCCTTTCTGACAGGCATGCAGACACCCATCTTCTTACCCCAGTTCCAAATTTCTAAAGCTCTTAACTGCCTGCTGACAGTCCTGGAGAAGTCACAGAGGAGACAGCTAAAAGCTGTCCTCTGTAGAACATTCAATTCAGAAAAGAACTTTTACTGGGCTTTGGTCATTAGTTGCTATAAAGCAAGAAGCTGTGCACTTCAAATTGAAAAGTAGATTTCGAGGTGAAGTAGACATACTTGTTATAAGGTTCTATCACCAGTTCCCTTCTCCACACAACACTTGCAGACAGGCGGATGTGGGGGGAAAGGTGACTCACGTGAACCACACGTGAATCACGCTGCATCTTCTTGGAGACACTGCCCCAGGATTCACCTTTGGAAGGTTACACACTTGGATTTGCTTTCTCATTTCTCATTGAGCGCCTCCATTCACACGTTCTTGTCTGGGTACCAGTGGTAAATATTTCTTAGGCAACTGTCAGGAGCTACTAGAAAATAGTGTGAAGTCTTTAGGGAAGGAAAGTCAATGGGACAATCTAGAGAGCAAGAACCTGCTGACCCCAACTGAATGACCAATCATGATTTAAGGGACCACAGTGGTTTCAGGATAGGAATGAAATTTCCCTGGCCCTTCCATGGAAAGAAAAACCAGAGAAAACGGGTAGTAGTAAGCAGGGGAACTATGAAAAAGCTGTGAAGTGCCCAATGTCATCCTGAGCACCTGGTGGCCTGAAAAGGTAAAGAGACTGTTTCAAGATGCGTAACAGATTTCCAGGAAGAGTGTCATATACCCCTGAGAACTGCATCCTGGCATCAGAGGGAAATGCCCACAGAAATAATGCAGGAGCCGACATGAAGGAACCCTGTGATTCCCTTATTGTTTTTAAATACTTTGAATCATCCAGGCACAGTGGCACACACATGTAATCACAGTGGCTCAGGAGGCTGAGACAGGAGGATTGCAAGTTCAAGACCAGCCTAAGCAACTTAGCGAGGCCCTAAGCAACTTAGCAAGACCCTATCTCAAAATTAAAAACCCCAGAAGACTGGGGATGTGTCTTCAGTGGCTAAGTGCCCCTGGATTACATCTCCATTTACCGAAATAAATAAATAAATACTTTGAATCATTTTGACCTGAAAGTAGAAGTTAATATAACTTATTAAAAAGCAGTTTGTGTGTACTGGGAACTTATTTTTGCCAATCATTTTTTTATGCTTTAATTTGAAAAATTCCTATGTAGAAACATAATGGCAAAGTTCTGCTATTAAGGATCCGATTAGATATGTAAATGAGATGATAGTGTTTACTAATCATTTAGTATTTCTTTGCAACAAAACCCAAGAACAGATCTCAGCACTTGTTGGGACACCAATTTTTAAGAGCAGCAAAATTTGAAATATTTAGACCATTCTTGCCCACAGAAGCCATGCTGATTTAAATAACCAATCCTTCCTTTCTTAACTGCGTGTAACAGAAATACAACACACAAGTTGGACTGAAAGGACTACAGCTTTCTGGAGGCCAGAAACAAAGACTAGCCATTGCAAGGGCTCTTCTCCGAAAACCAAAAATTTTATTGTTGGATGAGGCCACTTCAGCCCTTGATAATGAGAGTGAAAAGGTAACTTCCTCTTCCTTCATCTCAAACATTAACACCAAATATGAACATTGGTATCACAGAAGACACCAGGGACAGTTTAAAAAAAAAAAAAAAAAAAAGGCCTGATTGTAATTCTAACTAAGACTTTGTTCTTTGCAAAAAGCTCAGTAGGTGGTAGGGATGTGGGAGAGAGCTGGGACAGATGGCATTTCATGTTCTGGAAAGGTTTTCTCACTAGAATTGTTCTCATTATCTGAACAATTTTTTGAAATATTTCTCCAATAAAGAAAAGAGTCCAAGAAAAAATTATTTTCTATTTTGTTACTACTCCAGTGATGCCAAACATATTAATAATCACATGAAATAAATATTCTGCACTATAGTATCAGACCTATTATTTTACTTTCTCCAGACAATTAGCTTGGTTGGAGGAGAAAACAAGGAAACAAAGGCAATATGACAATACACCTACACAGCAAACTCCTCCAGATAGCTAATTTTGCTATGTCCTTGTCCCCCGAATACATAGTAAATGAACTTACATAGTAAATGAACATTGATTAGATGAATAGTTGTTAATATCTATCAAGTGTTTATTATGTGCAGTTATCTCAGTTCTCTCAACAACTTTATGAATTCACTTCTTTTGTTAGAAGGTCCATTTTCCAGATAGCACTTTAAAGTTGAGAAGAGTTAAGTGACTTCCCTATATTTTAATAGAGGGTATTTAAGAGCCCAGGCAGTTACATCACACATGCTGGCTATTTATACATAATTATCATTTTTGATTCCCAAAGAATGTGTTATGTCGGGGCTGGGGATGTGGCTCAAGCAGTAGCGCGCTCGCCTGGCATGCGTGCGGCCCGGGTTCGATCCTCAGCACCACATACAAAGATGTTGTGTCTGCTGAGAACTAAAAAATAAATATTAAAAATTCTCTCTCTCTCTCTCTCCTCTCTCACTCTCTCTTTAAAAAAAAAAAAAGAATGTGTTATGAAAGAAGAAACAACTTTGGAATCAAACATATATGCTTGTAATCCTGGATTCATCAGTTACAATCACTGTGACCCTGGTCAAGTGACCTAGAATCTTCAAACCACAGTTAACTTATCTGAAAAATGAAAATACATGGACCTTACAGGTCATTGCAAGGATTCAATGAGATATCCAACATTGGAACATTTTATCATGTTCCAGGTATTGGTTTTCACCCTCCACTCCCATTTCTTCTACACAGTATTAGAATCTCAATCAGCTGAGAGAAAATGAGCTAAATGTGAGAGGTAGCTCTGCTGAGGTATGGAAACACTACTCCTGGCTTTGAGTTTAGAACCATTGACTCACATACATGGCCATTTCATTTTCATTCATCATCACACATACTTTGTCAACTGAAAGTCTTACTAAATGTACCTATCTATAATTCTTTGTTCTAGATTGCTATTGAGTATGGTGAAAATTGCACAAAGCAGAATAGTTCCTTTTGGGATAAGCAAATAAAACAAAGAACATTGTTAGGGGTTGCCTTAATTGATTTGACTTAGGCAAGCTCATTAACTTCTAGCTCAAACTGGTGATCACAGGTCACTGTCTCTTCCAGGTGGTTCATCACAGGTCACTGTCTCTTCCAGGTGGTTCAGCAAGCCCTTGATAAAGCCCGGAGAGGGAGGACATGTCTAGTGGTGGCTCACAGACTCTCTACTATACAGAATGCAGATCTGATAGTGGTTCTGCACAATGGAAAAATAAAGGAATGGGGAACTCATCAGGAGCTCCTAAGAAATCGAGACATATACTTTAAATTAGTAAATGCACAGTCAGTGCATTGATGCTGTTGATTTAGAACTCTTTTGATCTTTTTGTAATGCAAAATAAATAAATAAAAGTATATGTAGCCATTATTTGATGTGCTTTGACCTTTTGTTGTTGTTGTTGTTGCATATATCAATAACTAGAATCATGCTACTCAAGTACAGACATGTTCTAAATTCACACATCTTCCCCTCAGATTTTTAAAAGGAAACAAAAATTTGCTAAATTCATACAAGCGAGATAATTCCTGTATCCTTCACTTGATTTATACAAATGTTCTAGTCCATATGCATAAAGCAGTTTTCTGCAAAGTAAATCTATTTTTCCATCAACTTCTACTATAAAATTGGAAATATGTTTTTTGGGGATATCATCCAGTTTACTAGGTTGAAAGGTTGTAGAAAAGACAGTGAGATATAGTTCAACCTATGGAATTGCAGGGGGAGTGTCTTTAATTTAGACTGCCAAGGGTTTTGAGTCCACTACTTGGGAAGCTGAGATAAGAAGATCACTTGAGCCCAAGAATTTAAGGCCAGGCAAGACTCCAACAAGCTGGGCACAGAAACACAGGCCTGAAATTTCAGGTACCAGGGAGGCTGAAGCAGGAAGCTCACAAGTTCAAGGTCAGCCTCAGCTATATAGTGAGACCCTGTCTTAAAATAAAAAAGGGTTGGGGATGTGGTTCAGTGGGTAAGCATCTAGGATTCAATCCCTGGTACCAAGAATGAAAAAAAAAAGAAGAGAGAACACACACAAAGACTCAACCTTAAAATATATATATGGAACTGGGGATGTAGCTCAGTTGTTAGAGTGCTTGCCTCATACACACAAGGCCCTGTGTTCAATCCCCAGCACACAAAAAAATAAAATAACATACATATAAAGAGAGGGGAGGAAGGAAAGAAGGCAATGAATGGTACTTTAGCACATTTAAATATAAATTTTAAATTATTCATTAAAGCTCTTATATATATAAGTATATATTAGGTTTATAACACACAACTTGGTATTAACTTAAGGGCTTTAAGCAAAGTATGCCAGATTTTTCAGGGCACCAAATCAATAGACTTAAGATGTGTTATCTTCTTATAGGGCCTTGGATATAGTAAATATTTAATAAATACTACGTGTATCAGTTTGAAAAGACAGAAAGCATAGCAGGTGTGTATTACTGACACTAAAATGACAAGCACCTATTTACTAAAATGATRACCTAGTGGGTGATGACTTCTGCTTCAATAATAACATTTTACCATCTCCTGTTATACATTCTCTCAGTCATTGGCAACCCATTCATTTATTTTTATTCAAGGTTACTTCAAGTCCATTGTCTTTCCATTCCAAGGGCAAATTTTTATTAAATTAATTCTTAACTAATTTTAGCCATCACCACTGAGCATAAGTTCATTTAATTATTTAATTTTGTGATAATTAGGTAACTGAGTATACAATGTCTAATTTCTCTCAGATTCCTGTGGCTTTATTCCCACAGGACTTTTAGCTACACTAAGGTATTTTTCCCTAGACTCAAAGGCTTCCAGTCTAAGGAAAATATGAATAGTTTTGCCAATTATGGTTCACAGCTTACTTCTGATGATGATCATAATCCAAATTTGCCTGAGCATCCTTGCCCTGTTTTTCCTCTACATGTGGGCTTGGATATAGTTACAAAAGGAGAAACAAGAAGAATGAAACCAATTTAAAAAAAAAGGTAATTCAGAAAATCCAAAGGACAATGACAGCAACTATCTATGTACAGAGGTGGAACTCTATCCCAGACATCTGTAATTGTTCCTGTTAYAGTGCTCTCATCTGCCACCATATTTTATCCTTTGATCCACCTTTCCTTCCTATGAAAGAAGGCCATTCAGTGGTTCTTAAAATAATTGATACACCAATGAGTGTGTACCATTGGAATAGAAACAATTTAACAGGATAAAATATGGCAAAGAGGTCAGTGCAAAAATAAGGGGTCACACCTGTTTATAACTAACCCAGCCAGCCTGTTTATCCTGCCACTCCTTAAAACAAGCTGTGTGTGCTCTCAGGTAAAATCAACTTAAGTTGTGAATAAACTGGTATGCTGACTGCTGGCTGGGTCAGTTTCATAGGAGGCACAGTATGTCACATGTTCTGCATGTGAACTATTTTGTGAAGCATTTTCTATGTTGGTGTCAGCTTTTGCATTCATTGTTTTTGCTCTGAGCTCTTATCCCAAGAGGGTTTGTAAAGTAGAATCAGACTGATTGGAGAAATTCAGTCTTAACAGTCAAGGGAGAAAACTGAGAAAATTGGAAATGGGGGAATGGGAATAGAAAGTTTGGTATACGCAGTAGACTTCAAATTCATATTTATCTCCCTATAATTAATAATAATTACTAGCAATTTATAAATTCCTTGAAAAGGCATAATTCTAAAAAATGGATCAACCAACATCTTTACACGGTACCTCAAATACCTTTTCTCCTTTTGATAAAACCACATTGATAAATCCTGTATTAATTTCCTATTACTGCTGTAATAAATTACCACAAATTCAGTGACTCGAAACAACAAAATTTATTATCTCCTGGGAACTGAAGACAGGGATATTCTACCACTGACCTACATCCCCAGCCCTTTTTGTTTCTTATTTTGAGACAGGATCTTCCTGAGTTGCTGAGGGTGACCTAGAACATGTGATCCTCCTGGCTCAGTCTCCCTAGTAGCTGGGATTACAGCCTAGTGCCAACACACCCAGCACAAGTTCATCATCCTTACAGTTCTGGAAGTCAAAAGTCTAAAATCTGTCTCTAAGCTCAAACCAAAGACTTTGGTCCTTCTCTAGGCCAAAATCTGTTCCTTCTTCTTGAAGTTTCTGAAAGAAAGTTGCTTCATGACCTTTGTTTCCTTAATCCCATTTCAATCTCCTTCTATCTCTCCACCTCCTCTATCACTCTTTTGTGACCACATTGGGCCTATGTGGATGATCCAATATAATATTCCTATCTGAAGACTTTTAATCTTAATCACATCTGCAAAGTCTCCCTACCCCTGCTCCCTGAAAGGTAACATCTTTGCAAAGAAGGAGCATGTGGACATTTTGGAGAGATCGTTTCTTGGCATGCCACAGATATTTAAACTTTTATTCCATGTAGAAGAAAAGTCAAAATTTTCACAGATTTTCACTGAGGAAAAAAAAGAAAGAAAAGAAAAAAACTCAGAGAACACTGAAAACATAGTCCAATGTCCTCATTACATGCAAACATAGCAGAAGGTCATAAACCTTGCCTCCAAACCTTGTGCTATTTCCGTTGGAATAAGCTACCCACTCTCATTGCTGTGCCAGTAATGTAAATATGTAAATATGTTTGCCTTTTTTCTTTTCACTTTTGCAATTAGATTCCTCCATTGTTGCTATGTCCTTTTATCCCAAGACTAGAAGTACTAAATAGAAGTTTATACTAAGTTCTATTGTTTAGCATTTTTATTTTCTACTAAACAATTTTATGTGCTATCATATTTAATACTATAAATATATGAGCTTTCATTTACTACTAACCCAGTACTTTGAATTTTTTAAAATCCTATTACTTCTAATGGTGACTATATGTTTTTACATAATTTTTCATAAACATAGAATAAGCATTCTGCGTGTGTGTGTGTGTGTGTGTGTGTGTGTGTGTGTGTGTGTAATGCTGGGGATTGAACCCATGGCCTTGTGCATGCAAGGCAAGCACTCTATCAACCGAGCTATATCCTCAGTCCATGGATAAGCATTCTATACATATTATCTCATTTAGTTCTGACATAAACTCTATGATGATAAATATTTATAGTTCGCTTTCTGAAAAACCAGACTCTTAAGGAGATGAACTTGTTAGAGTTGGACTATGGGATTCCACCCTCATCTTTCCAATGCCAAAGCCTACAGTCTTGATGGAAACAGGAATACTTCTGTCTACTGTTTATTGAGGCAAGATGGCTAGTGTAGTCATAGCTCACAGGAGCACACCAGGTCAATGTGAGGGTCAAATCAAATTTTGGCAGCAGCAACATGGTCTAATTAAATGAATGATGCACACCCTAAAATCCTCTACCTAGATCAAGACTGAATTCAGCTGAAGGCATGAGATCTGTTTTACTGTAGTGTTTACTTTTATGTATTATTATTGGGGATTCAGACCCTTTTTACATAAGCAAATTTATAGAAATATGTGAATACAAGCTAAGAAAAATGTAGAAAGAGGTGCATTTCTTAGAGAAAAGCAGAGTATCTCTATAATGCCTATAGAAATATTTTGAGAAGCAATGTCAATGTAATTGAATTTGTTGGGCATGTTTTCTTAGTGACTTATTCTTAATTATCAGGACTCAATTTAATCCTGCTCTCTTCTTTTTACACTCTGAGTATATCTGCTTAAAGAAGATTTTTGTTCATTGAGAATTCAGAAAGTAGAAGTTAGACAACTGGGTGCTAAAAACTATAAATGATTACATTATTAGGCTAAGGGGAAGACGGACTGACAATCCGATCAGTTTTGGTAGATATAAATAATAGAACGCTATTATTTATAAACCAAGTCAAAGCTGCTGTTGAATGGAGGTATTCTATTTAATCATCAATTTTGACTACATTACAGTAATATAATATATGGCTAAAAGAGTTTTGGCCCACTTGAAAGTCAAGAAAAGATTGTGGTAAAAAGGTTTAAGTTATTAAATTACCAGAAAATTCTAGATAATTGTGAGGGGAAAAACAAGAGAGGGAGGAAAGGAAAAAACAAGGATGAAGGAAGAAAAGGAAGGAAGGAAGGAAGGAAGGAAATTTTAAAATACTCAAACAGGATACTGGAACAGTGGTGCACACCTGTTAAGCTCCTTGGGAAGCTTAGGCAGGAGGAGCACAAGTTCAAGGCCTGTATGAGGACTTAGTGAGCCTCTGTCTCAAAAAATAAACAAATTAAAAGGACTGGGATGTAGCTCAGTGATAGAGCACTTGCCCAGCATTTTTGAAGCCCCAAATTCAATCCCTTGCACTAGAAAAGAAAATATTCAGACAATAAAGAGTGTAATACAT